CACACACACACACACACACACGTACTATTTCTACCTGTCACTTCCTTTTCCCTCCTCATTTTCATGTTCAGTTGTTGCTGGTGTGACTTTTAACACGACAGGGGGCTCTAGGAAGAGGAGTGCAGGTAAACATAGGTGAATGCAGATAGAGGAAGGTGTGCAGTTACCTGGGTGGTGGGTCAGGGGTTAGCGGAGCCATTAACAGGCTAAAACGACAGGCATTTACAGCCAGTCCCCCTGTCATCCTGCTTGTCTTAATGAGCCTCGGTGGATCTGCTAATGAGAGCTCTCAGCCTTCATTATCCACATTCACATGCTGCACTGAGAAAGAAGAGTTGGCCTGACATTGTATACAGATATAATAGTTTGTTGTTGGGGTTGTGTTCAAGAGTATTTTATTCAGTTGGAATCCTTTCAAATCTCTTGTCAAAGGGAGTTTATGTGCACCTCTTGTGTTTAGAAAAAATAAAATAAAAGAACAGTACCACTGGTAAAGCTCCATTTATACAGGTAAGCTCTAATTAATGGATTTATTACTGGTTAAGTAATAAATTAATAAGTATTTACTTAGCCAGGTTCGTGTGACATAAATTGAGTCATCTTCCTGAGTTTGTAAGGGTCGTCGTCTGCCCTGTGAGCGCAGTGATCGTGCAGGTGCCAGACAAGTCAACTGGACCCTGTTCAGCAAACTACAACAAAGGAGCTCTTCTTCTTGCTGTCAGATGATTGCCATCTTAATTTTTACTAGTGCGTGTGTATCTGTGCACACCCCATATGAATTGAATCAGGTCCATATCTGTGCCCACGTTCATTTAAGGAAGAGTAGAAACCATGAGCTGGCCTTAATATTTAATATTGTATCATATTTTTCTAGTTTATTTGTGAAGTCCATCTCATAGAACACAGAAGCAAGGACTTATTTTCTGAGTTACCTCATTGACTGTATATAAATATGGATAACACATAGCCACTTCCCTCTGCTATGCAAAATATGCCAAAATATCACGAGTACATCAACTGCCATCTTGGCATTTTGCAGCCAGATTCCATGCAGTAGTGACCGAGTAGTATCAGACCGCCAGTCAGACATGTCAAATCATCAGAAACACACCCCTTTTTATATCATCAAATAACTTATTAAAACAAACTTAGCAGACAGATGACTACCGTGCACACGTCAGTGTTCAAATATCTGTGAAAACTGATAGAAATCCTGTTTGTGAAAAAAAGGTTTGGATTTGTACTTTGACCTTTTAGTATGGCTCATGTCCCATCCACCAACATGGAGGGGGGTTATGACCTGTACTGCTACCAGCCACCAGGGGGCGATTGACTCACGGTGGCTTCAAGTCTGGGAGCTGTCAGCCTGTCCATCTTTTATATGGTCAGTGGAGTACCCTCACACAATATCAACAAATGATGGTTAGCCTTTTAAATTTTAATCCAGAAGCATCAGAAGGTAACCCAAATCATAAGGAGCCTGTAGTTCTGCAGATATCTTGCTCTATTGTTGGACATGCAGTCTGACCAGCATTTCCATCCTCAGACATCAGATAGTTGCTAGTTAGTCATAGACACATTTGGTCTTTTCTCACCCTCAGTGTTTTTCCTTTTCCTGTTACCACCTGCTTCTCCAGGCAGCTTTAACATGTGTTGATCGGAAACATTAACCTAGCCTCTTCTGCTGCTGGATGTCAGCAGTTTGTGTTTTCTTGGGGGCCCCTGGGGGCCCCTACAGCCTTGGCAGCTTGCCTCTGTCATCGCCAGCAAACAGAAACCAGCTCTGGTGGTACAGTTGTTGATTTTTGGTGGATGAGCCAAGAAAGAGCCAGAGACAAAGAGAAGATGGGGTCTCCCCCACAAAGCTGTTCCCCCCTGGGTGCAATTTTCACCTTTTGTTGGAGGTGACTGTGATGGTGGGGAAAAAACACCTCTCTCCTGCTACAAATAGACACCGGTAGCACTCCTGTGCTGCAGCTTTATGCAAATGTTTTAATTTCCCACTTCTTGATTATAATTCTTTATCTTGGTGGTAATATAAGATCATGGAAATTGTATAGTAATAACTAAGAGAGCTGGTTGACGTGTATTTATAGACGCTGAGGGCTGTGGAACAGCTGTGGTGCCAACACTTAATTTTCAGCCTTTGTTAATGAATGTGGGGGATTATGCATCTATTAAGAAGAAATTAGCAAAAATCAAAGATAAACTGGTGAAATGAGAGGATGTCATCATATTCACTACATGACTAATATAACACCGAGGGACGGGATG